CAAGGTGCACAAGCAGGGCATCCTGCCATGTACCCCTTGCCGTCATTTTGTTTTTTTGCCATGCCAGCACTCCGGCACCTTCCGAGGTAAGCATTGTGGTGTTTTTTGGCACTCTGGCTGAAAAACGTTGCCTACCCCTGCTCTAGACCAAAACGGCTACAACCTGGATACCTTGCATCAAAAATGGCATTTAACTTAATTTTCTACTGTTTGCATTCAGGTATATTTCAAAATTAAAAATCTAAGTGTAGGATACTAAGGACAATAATCCTTTAAGTTGTGTACTTTGCCCCTCTAGTTGTTGCAAAAGAAGATAGGAAACTCCAACTTGTATAATTATAATAGCAAATTGCCTGTAAAAAGTGACGGGGGCAGGCAGTGGGGACAGAGCCCAGCGTTCGGCCCTGTGCCTTCATTCCCCACTCTGACAGGGGCAAGCTTTAATGCCCTGTGCAAACACTGGCCTGTCTTCTGCCTATGAGCTGATTGCTGCAGCTGCTTCTGGAAGTGGCTGTGGGGCCGCTTCCGGGAGCACAACGGTGTTCCACTCCCCAGCCAGTGCTTGCAGGGGGACACCAGCACTCCCGCCTGCCCTCCCCACCCATCGCCTAAGCAGTGAGCCCGGCTGGTCAGGGTGTGCAGTGGCACTCTCAGGGGATGCACATGCACCCCTGTGCAACCCCTATACATCGCCACTGCCCCCCACCTTCGCATTATCACCACTGCCTTCTCCACAGTTGCTGGGGGGTGAGTGGGCACAGAGGCCCACATCCTCCCCTGCCCCTGCTGCTTGGGGGCAAGGGCCAGGACCGGGGCTGGGGCCAGGACTGGGGGCAGGGCTGGCCCTGCTCCCCACCCCCCACCCCCCCATCCCAACATTTTGGGGCTGGGGCCACTTTCACCCTGCTGCTCCATGGCCCGGGCCAGGGCCAGGCCCGCTGTCCCCACCCCTACCATCGTGGTGGGGGCAATCCCGTTCCGCCACCCCACTGCCGCTCTGACCCCATTCCCCACCGCTGCCTCTTCCACAGGACAGGGTGGGGAGGGGTACCCCCCCATCCCCTCTGTCTCCGCCATCTTGGTGGTGCTCCTCCACACCGCTGCCAGCTGTCTGCAATGCTCTTGGAGTACTCAGATGGGCTGCCGAGACAGCCAATTAAAGTGTGAAAAAAGAATTATGGACAGATAGGCTAAGGCTTTTATATACATAGAATTCTATTATACTGAGGCTATTAAGCATTGCAAAAGAGGATAGGAAACTCCAGCTTGTATAATTATATTCTACTATACTGAGGCTATTAAACATATTATTGCAAAAAGTGATGCAGGCTCTTCACTATGACTGTGTTAATGAACACAAACAGTGAAAATTGGTGATGATTGAAAATTTCACCAACACTCTTTTGAATGTTAAAGGAACATTATATACACCTTTTGTTTAAATATTTTGGGTGATGCTTATTTTATTAAGCTCTAATCCTGTAGCCATAACTATATGGGGGATCTCATTTGAAAGGTCCAGTGCATTAGCTTTATTCATCAAAGTTATAGTAGGAGAATTGTTCAATGTTTTCAGTACAAAACTCTCACCAAAAGCTACAATTAAGAACCAGTAGTGGGAAAGCATTTTGATGAGTGTTCTTAATAATGGCTTTACTATTGTGAAAAAGTGAATGGG